AGCAACTTCCTTTTCACTGTCATTTAGGCCAGCCGTAGCTCTAAGCACCAAACAGCAGCTACAAAAAGTCCACCGCAGACGTTTCAATGCGCAGGTGTCTTGCGCTTTTTTCTACGTTTAGCCTGCGCCGATGAAAGAGCAAAATGGATGCACTTACCGTGCATACAGTATACAGTACGTATAGACTTATCAAAGCCTATGGATCCCACAGGATCCACTGTCTCCTCCGTTCGGAAGAACTAGAAAACGTAGCTTTCTAGAAACGTGCATTAATACCGCACAGAATCTTTTCTTCCGAAACCTCGAGGCAACTGCAACTTTTAGGGATGCCTCCGAAGCTGGCAGGAGCCTAACTCAAAATTAAACCCTTCCGCAGAAAGGAGAACGAGCTCTCCGACACATTACGAACTTGGGAGATAGCCAGGAACAGAACTCTCGTCTCCCCGTTTGCAGTCTTCCAATTTTAGTGTCTCCGTGAACAACTCTGCCCAAAGCAAGGAGAGATAAAACCCGCCGTTAAGCTACCGTTTTCACGTGATTTCTCACTGTGATGTCTAAGAAGCGATAGAGGTATCGACGTTGCCCAGCAAGCATCTTGGCTTGAATGGTAAACAAAGTGAATCAGAACAGATAAGGAAACTTCTGATTCTCTGTATTTTAATAATCCCTTTCAAAAAAAACAGGCTTCAGGCGGGAGAATACAAACGTACGACAGGGCGCAGGAGCACACAGCCGCCGTCGTCGTCTGCACTAGAAGCAGCATGCCTGGAATTCAAAGGAAGCTCCATGTTCTGCTCGTGAAGAGCATGGTTCCTGCGTGACAAGCCCTGCTCTGTTACAGGCAAAAGCAGAAACCTCACCTGTGAGAAGCCGCCTTCTTTGGTGCAAACTCGTATTCTTCCGGATACCAGCGTCTGCAAGCGGAAAAAAGTGCCACTTAAAAGAGGAAACTGGGCTTCAAAAACATGTCCGGTGGCTGCTGCGGGTTTGTTACAATTGGTGAAAGCATTTCGGTTTCACCGGCACCCAGGGAAGCCACAACCCTGCCGGTCAAGTGCTTGCAAACGCCAGAGCACACCACCCGCAGAGTACTTCACGGCTCGTTCCGTGCATCCCCCGAAAAAGAACGAAGGCGAAAGGAGGAGGTGGCTGCAGGCAGCCCTCTCCCAGCAGCCTTAAACCTTGTTTCAGAAGACCGCGCCTTAGCACCACTTAACAGGCTTCCCTAGATGATCTTTCATAGGACTACTTAATTTGGGGAACGGTTACCTGCAAAGTTCTTTGACAGTGCTCACATCAATGATCCTGTAATGAAGATGCCTCATGAACTGAGGCATGTATTTGTCAAGAAATTTCTTATCTGCATGAACAGAGTTACCTACAAAGACACAAAACAAGATGTTTCTTCAAAGACGTTACAAAGCTGCTACGAACGACATCTAAACGAGAAGCAGGCTAAGGGCGCTGGGGAAAGATCATAGGGTATGAGAAGCTATTCACAAGCAGCTCGTTTATCCCATTTTCTAGTAAATATGATTGTAAAGGTTTGTCAGATGTTCATTGCAGAATCACATGCGGTTTAAATACGTAATCCCTCTATTAATTCTTCAGTTACTACTCCTACAGTTTCTGTCACGCAGATAAATATCAAAGTATTATGCAAGCATCGGGTTTTCCGCCAAGTGAAAACGGGCATTGGGATTAATTTCACTCAGCGCCAGTCCCAAGACCGCATGTGAATGTCCTGAATGTAGTTCTAGGTAGCAGGACGTCTGGAAGATTCCTGTTTGGCATTTGGCTCGAAACAGAGTGAGGAAAAGACGCCGCTGGGTTTGCTGCTCAGATTTTACGGTCGCAGGTTGCTGTCAGCAGCTAAGTTGCCCGCCCCAATTATAACTGTGCACGGAAACTCTAATGCAAAAAAGAATCGAAGCGTCCCGCAGTGACGACGTGCCATATTTGCTTTAGGGAATCTGCCGAACGGATGATGCCTTTACTGTACCTCTCCTTACTAAACAGGTTTTGATTTGCGTGCTAGATCTCAGCATAGAAAACTAAAGCATCCCCGCCACGCGCACCAGCGGGCCTTTTGGCACCCAGCTGGGAGCTGCGGGAGGGATGATACTGTTATTATGAAGAAAGAACATACTTTACCTGCAAGGGGACAGAGACCCGGGGGTGTCTGTTGTCGTACAAAGGACAGAAACTCGTACTCTGCCTGCTGCAAGGAAATTTTACTCTCCTTCACAGCCTTAGTAAGGCCAGACTGCAAAACAAGAGCCATTCATCATACATCAGAAATACGCTGCCAGAAAAGATACTTCCAGAAATGCTCAACAGCAAAAGGTCAACCCTTCAAGTACTGTTTGTTCCCCAGCGTGCCCAGAAGTGCCAACCGAACTCGGCGTTCCGATATTCTGGGACATCCCCGTGCCTTTACCCCCTCCAGGTATTTCCAGAAGCAGGCCTGACTGACGTGCGGGGCGCCGCTCGGGAAGTAAAAACCCACACAAGTAAAGGCGATCGTAGCACAGTCCTAAAATCGCCGACGGTCCTGTGGGGTTTGGGGTTTTTTTTTCCTTTCCCGGTTGCTGCACTTTCTAGGGGTTCTTCTTAATTACCGAGACATTACGCAAGCCTCGTTTATACACCTGTGCCTACGTGATCCAGGAGAGTATGACGTTTCTCTCTGTTCAAGGAGAGGCATTCGCCTCCCCAGCGCAGAGCAGCAGGTATAAACAAACAGAAATAATCAGGATCCTGGCTTAAGTGTTTATCAAGATTCCTATAAATCAGGAAAGTTCCTTCCTTCTTTTTTTTCAATAGTTAAATGTCAAATCTGCTCCAAGTGTTCTCAGTGATTTATTTCCATCTGGCTACGCTGTATGTTTCCACGACTGTGCTGCAAAAATCTACTTGACAGATCCAAGTGGTGGTTAAAAAATTCATTATGTGGCTGCATTTTCATCTCTATTCTAATTGCCTCTCTTTTCTTAGTCAATTAAAAATAAGTAGCTCCTCAGGAGCAGCGATAACGTATGCTACCATCTTCAATTCACTTGTGAACTGAAGCCGAGTCTGAGTCCTCAACTGGAGAAGGGGAAAAGCACCCATCACGGTAAATTAATATTCATTTTCCAAACTCTTGCTAATCCTTCCCGGGGAGAGTGAGATGCCGAAGGGGGGAAGAGGGGAGGGGCTACGGCTGTCTTAAAACTTCAGCCCTTAACTGAAAACTAACTAGAATTTCAATTCATAATCAGGGATTGGAAAATCCGTTCACTTTCTTGCTACTGGCAAGGAGGAAGCTTTCTTCGGGGGCTGAAAGAACTGAAAATAATCTCTCGTTGCAAAAGTTAAGCTTTCGGCGAAAAAAATACACTAGGCTTACAGCGCTAAGGGGACAGGCAAAAATAACAATCCAACGTTTACAGTAAATCGGCCTGTTTAATTCTACAAGTACCTAAATTTGCAGTGATGATAAATTTGCATTTTGTCTATTTGGACTATTCTACACCCATCTCGCACCTACTCTTAGTTGGGACTTCGAGCCACGTCTTCCCCCTCTCCGTCGGCATTATTCTTTGAATTACGTTGCGCGACACGGAACGGGCGTCACCGGGAGGAGCCGTCAGAGGAGTCCGTCCAAGCCGGCCTACAGCCGGGGGGCTCGGGCAGAGGCAGGCCACAGCCGACAGCTCAGCCAGCAGACCGGGGAGCCGAACCCCACTTCTTAACCGCACGGTGCTGAGCCTCCGCCTTTGAAGACGGGAACCAGCGGCACGTATCTGAGCGACAGATCCTGTTCCCAGGCCCGCTGACGCATCTCTCGCCCTACCCGCGGCTCTCCCGTGAGCTCTTGCTCCAGCCATCTCGGGGGACCGTTCGCTAGCTGTTGGCCTTTGCTGATGCTTCTGGCTCTCGAGTTAGAAAGTAGCTTCCAGCACTATTCAAACTTACTAAAAACCAGGCTACAAAGCACAGGCTGCTTCAGGGGAATCTCGCAGCTGAGACAGAGGGTGAAGACTAAGGATACGCGAAGGCAAGTCGCAGCTGCGCACGGATGACTTGCGAGACTTTATGCATCAGCTCCTCGGTACAACGTAAGGATGGTACTTACTGTCTCCCATTCTTTTGACTGCAAACTGTTCAGCACAGGAGTTGCCCCTTTTTAGGTGACTGTACCGCAACTCATAATTCTGAATTACACGTTTTTCTCACCGTTGCAAAGAAAGAGAAAGCGTAGCATGACTGCTCTAGAAGGGTTACCTTCCCGTGATGCTCCTTGCACCACTCGGACATGCTGTCCAGCAGCTCGTCGGGCTGATTAATAATCAGGTTAGGGCCCTGTCGGGAAGAGAAGAACAGAA